CTCTCTCTCTCTCTCTCTCTCTCTCTCTCTCTCTCTCTCTCTCTCTCTCTCTCTCTCTCTCTCTCCCTCCATCACGTCCAAAATTACCTCCAAGCATTTATCTCATGTAATTACCTCGCCAAAGAAAACCAGAAGTGACAAGCGACACCGAAAGACAAGTACATAAACATAAAAAAAAACATAAAAGAGAAAAAAAACACAAAAATACAAAAACTCTTAAAAAAAAAAAAAAAATCTCAAAAAAAAAAAATATATATATATAACCTACCCGTCACCCCGCGCCAAAGTCAAGGGATCTCCCAAGCAAACCACCCACAAAAAAGGTTTAAAAAAAGAAAAGAAAAGAAAAAAAAATGGACCACTTAATATCAAACAGCAGCTTGATCCACGTGATGAGGGCAGACGAGGGTGAAATTTTCCCTTCTTGCTCAAACGAGGAGGTTGGGCGGAGAGTGAGGGGAAGGGGAAGGGGGGGGGGGTGAATAGGGGAAGGGGGGAGGGGGGAAAAGAAGGGAAGGGGGTGAATTGAGGATGAGGGGAAGGGGGAAGGGGGGAGGGAGGGAAGGGGGGAGGAGTAAATTGAGGGAGAGGGAAGGGGGGGGGAGGGGGGGAAAGGGGTGAATTGAGGGTGAGGGGAGGGGGGAATTGAGGGTGAGGGAAAGGGGGGAGGGAGGGAAGGGGGTGAATTGAGGGTGAGGGGAGGGGGGGGAGGGGGGAATTGAGGGTGAGGGGAGGGGAGGGGAAAAGAGGGTGAATGAAGGTGGGGGAAAAAAGGGTGGTGGGGAGGAAGGGTGAAAGTGGGGGGGGAAGGGTGATAGTGAGGGGGAAAAGGGTGAATGAGGGTGTAGATGAAGTAAAAAGAGTGAATGAGGGTGAGGGAAAGAAAAAAAAGAGTGAAAGAGGGTGAGGGAAAAAGAGTGAATGAGTGTGAGGAAGGGATTATTAGCTTCGAGTGGTGGGGAGAAAAGGGTGGATGAGGATGAGAATGAGGGAAAAAAGAAAGTGTGGAATGGAGTAAGGGTGGGGGGAAAAAAGAGTGAATGAATGTAAGAATAGGGGAAAAGGTTAGGGTGGAAAGCGAGGGTGAAGCCATCAATAGATTATGAAAGAATTAAAAAAAAAGGGTGAATGGGGAAGAGGGTGAATTGTTAGGTTTAGGGTAGAGGAAAAAAATTAATGATGGAGAGTGAGGGGAAACAGAGGGTGAGGAAATTAGGGTGCGGGCGAGGGTGAAGGTGAGAGAGAAAAAATAAGAGAGAGAGAGAGAGAGAGAGAGAGAGAGAGAGAGAGAGAGAGAGAGAGAGAGAGAGAGAGAGAGAGAGAGAGAGAGAGAGAGAGAGAGAGAGAAGGAGAGAGAGAGAGAGAAGAGAGAGAGAGAGAGAGAGAGAGAGAGAGAGAGAGAGAGAGAGAGAGAGAGAGAGAGAGAGAGAGCGATAGAATGCGAAATGCACTTAAAATAGGCCATTAAAATCAAAGAAACAAGAGGGAAAAAAAAGAAGAAATACAAAGATAAAACAAACTAAAGGAACTAAAGGACGCAGAGTATAAAAAAAAAGGTACAAAAAAAAAGTACAATGTCATCATAACGTGTTTGCACTTTCTCGCCCTCTATTGCTTCCATTTATTCTAATCTCTCTTCCTCTCCCCTCTTCGGTGCGGCTCCATTCTTCATCTTTCTCTCTTCCTTACACTTATGATCCCTTTCTCTCTATTATTCGTGTGTTTATGCCTACGCTACTTCGTTTTTCTTTTCATTTTACATTCGTGCTTTCCCTTTCATTCGAGATTTATTTTCTTATCCCTTTTTTATTAATTTCTATCATTTTATTCATTGTATTCTTATTCTGGCTTTATTCTTATTCTCTCTGCCTCTTCCTTTTCTTAATCCTTACAAATTTCTCTAAATTATCTTCCCTCTTCGTCTTGGCTCTTCTCGGATTTCCTGTGTCTTTGCTTTGGTATTTGTTTCCTTCTCTTTCCTCCCTTTCCTCCTCTCTCTCTCTCTCTCTCTCTCTCTCTCTCTTCTCTCTCTCTCTCTCTCTCTCTCTCTCTCTCTCTCTCTCTCTCTCTCTCTCTCTCTCTCTCTCTCTCTCTCTATATATATATATATATATATATATATATATATATATATATATATATATATATATATATATATATATACACACATATATATATATATATATATATATATATATATATATATATATATATATATATATATATATATATATATATATATATCTTTCTCTTTCTATCTATCTATCTTTCTATCTCTCTCTCTCTTTATCTATCTTTCTATCTATCTCTCCTTTCTCATCCCTCTCTCCCTCTAATTTCCAGATCATCTCCTTCCTTCATTCACCTGTCCATTATTTTTTTACTCTCTCTTCTGCTTAACCAAAGGTTTAATATCCCCCCTTCTCTCCCTCTTTTGCTTTCCTCCATCGGTAGTCTCCCCCCCCCCAGGCCTCTCCCCTCCTCTCACCCAGGCCTCTCCCCTCTCTCTCCATTTCCCCTCCCTCTCCTTCTTCTCTCCTTCTTCTCTCCCTCCTACTTCTCTTCCCTCTATCTACTCATCCTCCCACCTCCTCCCTCTCCTCCTTCTTCCTCGTTTTCCTCTTATCCTTCCTCCTCTTTCTCTTCCTCCTTCCCCTTCCCCCTACCTCCTCCTCCCTCTCCTCACTCCTCCTCTTCTTCCTCCTCCCACCTACCTCATCCCTACCTCCCTCCTCCCCCTTCCCCTATTTCCTCTCCTCCCTCTTCCCTCCCCTCATCTCCCTCTCCTCTCTCCTTCATCCTCCCTCTTTCCTCATCTCCCTCTCCTCTCTCCTTCATCCTCCCTCTTTCCCCACCTCCCCCGTTCTTTACCCCCCCTCCTCTTCCTCCCTCTTCACTCCTCCCTTTCCTCCCTCCTCCCTCCTCCCTCCTCTTCCCCCTCCCCCCACGAACACCCCCCCCCCCCCCACACCGCCAGCTATCAGGACCCGCCCACCTCCAAGCGACCAAACCCTGACATACAATAAACCCTTATAAAAAGCCCACTTTGTTGACTCAGAAACTTATTACCTGTAATCGTTAAGGGGGGGGGGGGGGAGATCCTGGGGAGGGGGAAGGAGAGGGGAAGAGGGGAAAGAGGAGGGGGGAAAAGAGGGGTAGGGGTGGGGAAAGAAGAGGGGAGGAGAGGAGTAGGAAGGGGAAGAGAGGGGAAAGAGGAGGGGAGGAGAGGAAGAGAGGGGTAGGAAGGGGAAGAGAGGGGAAAGAGGAGGGGAGGAGAGGAAGAGAGGGGTAGGAAGGGGAAGAGAGGGGAAAGAGGAGGGGAGGAGAGGAAGAGAGGGGTAGGAAGGGGAAGAGAGGGAGAAGAAGAGGAAGGGGAGGAGAGGGGAAAGAGGAGGGGAGGAGAGGAAGAGAGGGGTAGGAAGGGGAAGAGAGGGGAAAGAGGAGGGGAGGAGAGGAAGAGAGGGGTAGGAAGGGGAAGAGAGGGAGAAGAAGAGGAAGGGGAGGAGAGGGGAAAGAGGAGGGGAGGAGAGGAAGAGAGGAGTATGAAGGGGAAGAGAGGGGAAAAAGGAGGGGAGGAGAGTAGGAGAGGGAAGAATGGGAGAGGAAGAAGAAGGGGAGAATATGTGGAGGGGGAAGAGGGGAGGAGAAAAAAAGGAGGGGAAGAGAGAAGTAGGTTGGCGAAGAGGGGAAAGATGAGAGGAAGAAAAGGAATAAGGGGAAGAACGGGGGGAAGGAGAAAAGAGGGGTAGGAAGGGGAAAGAGGAAGGAGAAAAGGAAGATGTTGAAGAGAGGAAGAAATGGGAAAAGGGGAATGAAAAGGGGGAAAGCAGGAAGAGGATTGAGTGGGAAGAAGAGGGAGGAGAGAGGTGAAGAGAAGGAGGAGAAAGAAGGGGAAGAGTGGGAAGAGGGGGAGGGGGAGAGAAAGGGAAGAGGGGGAGGGAAAGAGAAGGGAGGGGGGAGAAAAAAAAGAAATATGGAAGGTTAAAGAGAAGGGAAAGAGGGGGTGGGGAGAAAGCGGACGAAGGGAAGAGAGAAGAAAGACGAGGGATTAAAGAGGAAGGGGAAGAGGGGAAAGATAAAAGGGGGAAGAAGGGATATATGAGAAGGAGAAGGGAGAAGAGGAAGAACTGAAAGAGAAAGAAGGGGAAGGGAAAGATGAGAAGGAAAATGGAGAAGAAGAAGAACAGAAAGAGAAAGAATAGGAAAGGAGAGAGGAGGAGGAGAAGGGAGAAGAGGAAGAACAAAAATAGAAAGAAGGAGAAGGGAAAGAGGAGAGAGAAGCGGATTGGTAGATTATTCTAATTCCTTCCTCTCCCCCTTTTCATATCTCCTCATTAACCTACTATTATCTGCTTCTCTCCTACTCATCATTCTAATATCTCTCTCTCTCTCTTCCTCTTTATTTTCCTTATTCTTAACCATAACCATCATCATTATCATTACTGCTTACGTGTTTATTGTCCCTTGCTTTTTGCTACAATACTTCGCTAATTAGTTTAAGAATATAGTAATTCGGTAATTCAGTAACTAACTTACACATATACTGTATATATGTAAATATGTAGATAAACAGCTAGAGAGATAGACTTATATATATATATATATATATATATATATATATATATATATATATATATATATATATATATATATATATATATATATTTATATATATATATATATATATATATATATATATATATATATATATATATATATATATATATATATATATATATATATATATATATATATATATATATATATATATATATATATATATATATATATATATATATATATATATACATATATATACACATATCTACATATAGTACATATAACTATAGATATATAGATAAACACATACATAAATAGACATGAACATAATAATAAACATACCTGCAGTCAACCGCGTGGGTCTGAGCGGCCAGGCACGAGAGAGTGGCCACGAAGAGCAGGGCCAGAGGCGCCAGGCGGAAACGGGTTGCGACAGCCAT